CTGACCCTGCGCTCTGACCCCCAGCTTCTCTCCCTGTCTGTGTGTCTCAGGGAGAGCAAGCTGGGGTCTGTGAAAAGACAAATTCCTAATGCAAGAAACTGTACATGCCCAATAAAGTGATCTGACCTTATCTTGGCACATCAGCTATTTCCCTGGTGCTGTCTATTGTCCATTATTGTCCCTGATAACATATTACTTCATCCTTAATAGTTCTGTTACTGCTCTTCTGCATTCAAGGGGGACTATTGTATTTTTCACTGTTGTGCACCCACAGTCAATCATGTTCAGTCAATTATTTAAATGAAGACTGTCCTTTTCTGACCTTAAAACTGCACGTCTGTCACACACTCACTTACACATGGCAAAAAAAATAAATATTTAGTGCTAAAAAGCTCGTCTTTCCTCCTCGTTCTGTTTATGACACCAGCAATCATTTTTTTTTTTTGCCTATGATAAAATCCTCTATGACGAATTAATAAAGACGGTATTTCACGAGGAGAGACGACTTATGTGAGAAACTGCGCGGCAGGATGCGCCATGTTGGATCTAACTCCTTCCTTTTTCATTGGGGAGTCTGGCCGCGGTACCGGAGCCAAGATGGCGCCAGTTTCGCCTCGACCTCCTCTCCCTGGACGCGGCTGGCCGCAAACCCGCAGCGCCGCCGAGCAGCCGCCAGGTGGCGCCCGATCCCCCTCCCCCTGTTCTGTCTACAGGCGACCCAGCAAAGATGGCGGTGCGGAAGAAAGACGGCGGCCCGAATGTTAAATATTTCGAGGCGTCCGATACGGTTTCGCAGTTCGACAATGTCCGCATTTGGTTGGGCAAGAATTACAAAAAGGTACCTCTTCATTTTCCCCCCTTTTTCAATGCCATGTCTGGGTGTTTTTTGAAAAAGAGCTCCGGAGACCAGGGGGCTGGGTGAGGCGGGGGGAATTCTTGAATCCGGCTGAGCGATTCAGCCGAGACACAATGAGAGCCGCCCAGAAAACAAAAGAGACCCCGATGTTATTCTCCCCGTCATCCCGGCTGCAGGGGTGCGACCCCTCGGGCTGCCGGTTCGGGCGCGCGGAACGAATCGCAGTGCACAGCAGGGGGCAACCTGTCGCGTTTGAGCCGCGGCGTGTGTTTAGTGTGTTTGCGTGCGTGTCATTCCTTGATTTTGTCTGTTTTCGCAATTTAACTGGCAGGCGGAGATTCTCGCCAGCTGTTAACATCTGGCAGCCCCTGGCGTGTAGCCAGCGGTACTGCACGGCGGCGGGGGGAGCCGTGCGTGTTCTGAGATAACGGCTCTGACAGCCGTGGCCTCCTCCCCTCGCCCCGTCAACACTGCGGGGTCGTGTGGTGCGGGAGTTTCGCGTTTCGATGTTGCGCGACAAAACCTCAGCGCTGTCACAGACAGACACACACAC